AATTCTAACTCACAAAAAAAAGACCAGATTTACTGGCCTAAAGGAGACTGGAGAAACCCTGAGAGTACAGCCCCTAGACACCCTTTTAGCTCAGTGGTGAAGTCATCTCCAAGGTTCACCATTCAGCCTGGAAGTGGAGAGCCCCATAAAACCAAATGGGACTAATGAGGCACAGCAGTCCAGGGACAAGGACCAGAAGGCAGAAGTGAGGGGGAAAGCTGGTGACAGCGAACCCAAGGTTGAGGAAGGATAGTGTTGATGTGTTGTGAGGTTGTTAACCATTGTCATAGGGCAACATGTGTACTGTTAAATGAGAAACTATTTTGTTCTGTAAGCCTTCATCTAAAGTGAGAATAGCAGCACAGCTGAAAGAGTGTAGTCGATGTCACTGAACTGTGCATGTAGGAATTTTTGAAATGGTGTATCTTTAGCTATGTATATTTTCACCAGAAAAAAAAAAGTTGAGAAGGGAGAGGGTTGACATGTTGTGGGGTTGTTAACCAATGTCATGAAACACTATGTGTACTATTGCTTCATGAGAAACTATTTGTTCTGTAAGTCTTCACCCGAAGTACAATTAAAAAAAAAAGAAAAACAAATATTATGTCAATTTAGACAGGTAGAAAAAAAACACACACATACATAAGAGTTCCAAAGTATCCGAATAAGATGGGGTATTTAGCTTATATTAGAGGCTGTTAATAGCAGCTTAAGGAGCCATGGTGGCACTGTGGTTAAAGCACTCAGCTGCTAACTGAAAAGTCACTAGTTCGAACCCAACAGCTGCTCCATGGGAGAAAGATGTGGCAGTCTGGTCCCGTAAAGAGTACAGTCTTGGAAACCCTCTGGGGAAGTTCTACTCTGCCGTACAAGGTTGCTATGAGTTGGAATCAACTCGACGTAATGGGTTTTGGTTTTAAAAGCAGCTTATATTAAAGCACGTGTACAGAACGACATTTATAATGAAAACAGGTTTAATGACAATGCATCAAATTTGTCATCTTGGGGGAAGCCAGGAAAAACGAATAAAAAAGCCAAGAGCTTCAGGTCATGGCAAATCAATTTTTAGTAGGTGAAAATTACTACCAGTGGTTAAAATGAACAAAGTACTTTTAGGTAACTACAGAGAAAAACAAATCTAGAAAATACCTGGTAACTTGTGTTGGAACACATTTTCCATGATATGCTTAATTCCTCGTCTCTGTTCCAAGCTCTCATTGTGTAAACCAAACTCTTGGACCACTTTATCAATAGCAATGCCAATTGCATTTATCTGGGAGGGTACTGGTGGGGGTAATGTAGTGAGTAACTCTTCTTCTTGCTTCTCCTTTTAAAATAAATACTAAAATTAAAAATGGCTCACAGTTTTTTACCTTCTAACACCTCACTGAGACTAAACTGTACTATTTTCTTGTACCTTTTTCTTAATCTTCTCTCTCACCTTAGCTGAGTTAGTCTTCATCCTATCAACATACACACTTTCTAATGAGCATAACATGGATTAGTGATAACATAGGGTAGGCAGGAATAGATAGAAAGTACGAAGGCAGAACATTAAAAACAGCAATGTCAAACTAATTGCATATTATTACTGGCACAGGACATATACCTAGGTTCTATCAATGACTTCACACACTGATATTATCCCGATATTCACAAGACTGCCCAGCAAAACATATTTAACAAGTATAAAATATTCTGGCTAAAATAAATTTAATAAATATAAGTGTGAAGTAATTACAAGTATAAAATATTTTGGCTTAAATAAATCAATAAACATAATTAGAAAAGCTATTAAGCCCTGGTGGTGCAGTGGTTAAGAGCTACAGCTGCTAACCAAAAGGTCAGCAGTTCGAATCCACCAGCCGCTCCCGAAACCCTATGGGGCAGTTCTACTCTGTCCTACAGGGTCACTATGAGTTGGAATCGACTCGATGCCAACAGGTTTGGTTTTGTTTTGTATCAAGATCATAGCTCTAAGGAGAAGACAATGAAGAAGATGACAGTAATACCAAGGGACAAGCAAGCCCACCTGTTTGGGCTACATTAAACTCACCTTGATGTTCTTCTTGTGCCTTTTCTCTTTGATATGCTTATGGGCAGATGCAACAGATTCAATTAAAACATCACAGAGTTTGCAGGTGTATTTTGCTGTAGGGAAGTTTCGTGGTCGCTATAATTTAAAGAGATTTATAGATAGATATATCTTCAAACATTCAGGTAATTATTAGCCAAAAATTGACTTCCCCT